AGCAAAAATGGTCTCAAAACTTGCATATGCACTACTCAAATCTGGCCCTGAATTCAAGCTGAGGAAGGAGCTCTTTGCAAATAAAATACGAAGCTATTTGCTTCGATGACTCATCAGCTTATCTTGCGCGCAAGAAAGAGGACAATTAGGAAGGCAGAGGAAATAAACTAAAACATAAATGAAATATTTTATATGCTTCAAGTAATACCACCATTTCTGAAAAGGCAATTTGGAAGAAAGTCGCTTTGCTTCCTGTGCTCATTCTTAGATTTTTCAGACGGATTTTCTCTTGCGAATAAGGTTTAACGAAACCTTTACTGGATTAATACAAACGGAAAAGGGTGAGCCAAACTGCGTCTACGTGAACGCTTCCATCCAGAGGAGCACCGACTATGAGGTCAAGGTAGGTCCGAGATTATCCTGGGTGCCTAAGCCTAATCGCATTTATTTCAAGATTCCTCTCGTGGGGTGCGAAACGACACAGAATAGAGACGGAAACTACGAGAACGAGATAGCTGTACAAAACGGTGATATTTTTGACAACAAGAATGACAAACGATACCTCCTTACATGCATTCCTGCCAGTCCTATATTTAGGTAAAGTTGGTGTTTCTTACTTTATTTATGTTTGGGTGGAGGCCAATTTTGTAGGAAGTTTTTTTTTGAGCATGGGTCTATGAAGGTAGACAAATTTGTAAATGTTGTGGAGGACAAATATTAAGTTTATGTGTGCTTCATTGCAGGGACTCGCAAGTGACCGTTTCTTTCGGCGGAGTCACTATCGATACACAAGTGACCACAGCTATGTCACTTGTAAATTCTCCGAAGGTGAGTACAACTACTTCTCCTTGGGGGCGGAAGTGTTAGATATAAATCTTTCAGGTCGAGTACGAAGTATCGGTTCGAGACGGAAATGATCCCTCAGCACCGACTCTACGAAGGCCATTATCTGTAGGAGATCGTGTGGTAAGTAAAGAATACTTCATTTACTCGCTTGAATGTTTATCGTGACGTACAAGGAAGTGTTATGAAGTCAAGTTCGAATTCACAGAATGCACACGAAGAGTTTGAAACCCTTTTTTGCATTCCGTATCTGTAGAAGGCTATTGGAAAAGAAGTTATAGGCAATCATTAAAATATGCTTTTTTCTGAGTGACGAAAACAAATGGAGGTCATGCTAACCGCTTCTTGCGCTACAGGATAACATTTGAAGCCCTAGCATCAAATTAATCTTGGATATGTCATTCCAGAAAGGCTTGAATCCAAAGTGTTTAGATGTTTATGCTAGGTTGTTCCGAAGTTCTGTCCAATTTTTGTGGCCTCATTTTGATGCAGCAGTTTTCTTGAAATTTTGCTCATAGTGTGGTGATACTTGCACCATTAGAAAGCTCTCTTCTTGCTCTTTTCGAGGCATATCAAATTTTTTTTTCAAAATCTCCATTGTTCAGCATTTTTGAACCTA